CATCTCACAGCGAGTGACCCCTCACGGCTCCCACCTCTCACAGCTCCCACCTCTCACAGCGAGTGACCCCTCACAGCGAGTGACCCCTCACAGCTCCCACCCCTCACGGCTACCAGCTCTCACAGCGAGTGACCCCTCACAGCTCCCACACCTCAGAGCAATTGACCCCCTCCCAGCCCTGACCCATCACAGTTCCGGCCCCTCCCAGCTCCCACCTCTTCCAGCTCCCACCCCTCCCAGCTCGGTGAAGCCCTCAGCGTCTTCACTCCCCTGACAAGGGCATTGCAAGAAGGGACTGCCACGGGACCATCTCTCCCACAGACGTTGCTACAAATACTCCATACAAACTATTCACAAGATTCCAGTCACGTAAAGTACATGATAAAATCTCAAATTGAACTGCACTCAAAAGAAGAAATGTAAATTGGATACAAGATACCTACAAGAACTCACGGCCAAGGTCACACGTGATGGTGAAATCTTTTCTCCAACAGGTCCTGTGACATCACTGTGGTCACCTCCACCCTGGGGCTCTGGGCAGGGCAAGAGGGGGACAAAGTGTGTGAGAATTGGAAAGGAAGAAATAAAGCCGCCCTCCCTGAAAATACAGGAAATCCCAGAGAATCCACAGACGTCACCCCAGCAACAGGTGACTGCTACGAACGCAGTGGTCACGACCCAGGAGAAAAAGGACTGCGCCACCAACACACACAACATGAAGTGCAAGGTCCTGACGGTGCGTGAGAGAGCCCAGACCACACTACCCCCAGCTGCACACACGACCTGGCCCCACTCCTGTGAGGCTTCCTGGACGGGGCAGAGGGGAGGATGGGTCCTCCCGGGGCACGAGGAGACGGACACGTTCACTATTTCCACGGTGGCAATGGCCCCAGGGTCAGGCTTACGTGGAGACTCACGAAACTGCACACTGTGAACATCAGCGAGGCTTCCCAAAGCTATTAAAAACGTATCCCATCATATCCCGTTTTGCACTTGTTGAGTTTTGGTTCATTCAGACAGACCTGTTTTTTTGTA